ACTTTTTCATGTGTCTGTTGGCCATTTGGATGTCTTCTTTGGAAAAATGTCTGTTCATGTCTTCTGCCCATTTCTTGATTGGATTATTTGTTCTTTGGGTAAACACCTATTATCTTTTAACATTGGCTTGCAGTGTATTACTGAATTTTATTTTAGGGCAGTCCCTTGGGATATGTATTATAAAACTTGCATTTAAGATGTAGAATCCCAGTTAAGTTTAGAACACCCAGATCAGAGCTTCAATTATTGGACATCAGTCCTAATTAAACACTCTGTAGTTTCCCGTACTGGTTAGTGTTTATTGTACTGGTAACCTGGATCAACTGATGGGATTTCTCTTTAAACATTTTTCAGACTTCTAGCAGTGGAAGGCACTCTGTTCGCATCACTGGCCTTAGTACTATTGATTTCCGAGCTGGTTTTTCTAGAAAACCCACCCTGGACTTCAAAAAAACAGTCAGCAGACCGGTGCAAGGTTTGTATGTACATATTACCAAAATGGACATGGTAGATATCCAAGTGCAAAATATTTCTCGAACTCTCTGTAATTTTATAATTTTGTAGTATTTAACAAAATTGGGAAACATAGCATCTTTACTTTAAACATGATTGTATTCTTGGCCTAGTCATTTTTTCTCAATGTCTAGTTCCAAGACCAGTGATACTGAAATTAATCAGAGAGCTTGTTAAAAATTAGGATTCCCAGGACCCACCCCAGATCTCCTGAATTAGAACTGAATTAGGTTAGACCCAGGAATATGCACTGTAGCAAGCACTCCAGTTGATTCCTAAACTTACTGAACTTTTGAAACTACTGACCTAGATATTGAGGCTTTTTACTAACATCTATAATTTGCCTTGTTGTTAAAGTGAAAAATGTGGATTTTATGTGTGTAATAGCTAAAAAAATTAGACATCATGTATTATTGTATGTTCAAAGATAAAATTATTGCCACTTCTTATAGCTTGTTTTTCTTATTTTATTCATGCAAGATTATAGTTTTATAGTGAAAAAATGCTTAATCTTACTGTGACTCTTCAAATTTCTTTTTTTTTTGATTGTTCATTTATTTTATTGCTGCAGTTACTAGAAAGATACAAATAGTGAGTCTTTAAAAATTAAATATTCATGTTATTAAACATCATGTAACACAGTATTCACAATTTTAGTTTTTCCATGTATACGTATTGTTAAAATACCATACAAATAATTATTAGGATTTCCAAAGTTTCTGTAAATGTTTAAGCCACAATTTGTAAGACAGTTTGTAGTACTCATACTTATGATACTTGTCTGTTATTATAATGCAAAAATTTATTTGATATATGACCTCAATTCCATGTTACTTGTAAATAATAACAAAGCCTTTCTCTCGTAGGAATACCTACCTATGTGCTGCTGAATACTTCTGGAATTTCCGTCCCAGCCAGAGTAGATCGTCTTGAACTTCTGAGTATCTCAGGCAGTTCTCTTAAGACTATTCCTGTTAAATACTACCCAGACCGAAAACCTTATGGCTTGTGGAATATTTCTGACTTTATACCACCAAATGAAGCTTTCTTTCTCAAAGTAACAGGCTATGATAAGGATGATTATCTTTTCCAGAGGGTATCAAGTGTTTCCTTCTCTAATATCATCCCAGGTGAGACATCATTTTATTGAACACTGGAGTATTGATAGTTTAAGGGAGTGATGTGGTCCTAAAAGAATGAAATATAAAGTAAAAAAATAATATCTTCACATTATTACTGGGTTATTGAATTGATGGGCATTTATATTTAGGTAACACAATTTTTCTTAATCATAAAAAGCACATTCAAAGTTTCATGTTAAGTCTCACTGATTGCAGATCTGAAAATTTTGATTGCTTCACTCAGTGTGAGAACTGGAACTGGGAAATTTTGGTGCTCTTACTCCCCCCCCCCCCAAAAAGCCTGGCACACATGTGTAATGTTTGATCAAGCTACCTAAATGGGCCAAATGGGTTAAATATTTATATGTGACTGTCAGAAACCTACTTCGTGAACAGTAATTCATTGTAAACAACTGGTGATGATTCTATCTTTATGTGATAAGTTGGCAGTTAGTTAATTGGTAAGCTAGTTACTCATATATTTGCTATGATATAGAGATAAGATCACAGATTAGGGATTATTTAGAGATATGAGATAGCATTTCAATTTTTATATTTGTGCTATTTCTCAAGGCTAATGACAACTCTGATCAAAATTTAGAACTATAGCTAGAGTTGTGGGTAGACAAATCTTTATTGTTTCTAATATTGTAGTATTGGATTGAGGGACAACAATTTATCATTTATACATAAGATTGTAATTTGGGAAATTCAGAAACAACTGTGTAGCTAGTCTTTAATCATTGTCAAATGGTGAGAATAGAACTGTCAGTATTTCTTCATATACAGTATTCAAAGTTTAGTTGTCTTAGCCCCTAAACTGAATACTATAAAACCTATTGGATTCTTAAAAATCAACTTTTCCCATTATTTTGGGGAAAACAATTACCTTTTGCATTCAATTCTAAGGCATGTGGGTTCTTTTCATATATTTACATTTTTGAAATAAAAATAGGTTCTACAATTGATGAAGTATGGTAACTAATTTGGTAGCTTTTTCTTTTCTATCTTGGTGGCCCCCAAAATAATGTGTCTTAAAAATAGAGTCTTAGATTTAATGAATACTTTAGTAAGGGGTCCATGGAGAGATCCAGAAATTAATAAGGTTTGAACAAAGAAAGATAATTAAAGTGGGTTTTAGTGATTTAGATTAATTGGAATGAAGAGGATTTACTGGAATAATTAAAGTATGAAGCTTTTGAATGCATTAACAGGAAGTACCCAATAACATTGTGATCTTGTTGCCCATGTTCTTTTCTTCCTAGATGCTCCCAAAGTTACAATGCCCAAGAAAACCCCAGGATACTATCTGCAGCCAGGCCGAATTCCCTGCTCTGTTGAGAGTCTTTTACCCTTTACCCTGAGCTTTGTCAGAAATGGACTTACGCTTGGAGTAGACCAGTATTTAAAGTGCGTACATGTTTTTATTAGCAATTATAGACAAAATTAAACATCTAAATACAAATAGATACTTAATGTGCTTTTTCATTGGAAATTCTCATTTGTTTCATAGTCTTAGAATATGGCAGCAAACAAAACAGACACAAGTCTGTGCCCTTATGGAGCTTACATTGTAATGGAGAAAGACAGAAAACATATAATATGTTAATTTAATAAATGCTAGAATTCATTCAAAGGTTGATTCAGGTTTTATAGGATATTGAATTTTATATAACTTGAGGGTCTCTTGTTTGTTTTTTTAAAAAATTTATTTGACAGAGAGAGAGTATAAGCAAGGGGAGTAGCAGCAGTGGGAGAGGGAGAAGCAGACTCCCCGCTGAGCAGGGAGCCCATGCAGGATTGATCCCAGAACCCTGGAATCATGTTCTGAGCCAAAGGCAGACGCTTAACTGACTGAGCTACCCAGGTGCCCCTTGAGGATCTCTTGTTAAGATGAACAATACAAAATTATGAATAAAAAGTTAAGTACCAAATCTTGGAAGGGTCCTTGCAAAAGAGAAAAGTTTAAGTTTTTGATGAATCCTAATATATGCTTGGCTGTGAAGCTTGGGGCAAGCAAGTCTCTGAATATAATTTAAAGTGTTCTGGTAAGTGAATCCGATTAAGTGCTGTAGCAAAATGTAGAGCAGATTAATTGAGATTAGATTAATTCTGGTAGATGGGGTGCATGTGGTTTTGGCTTAGTTGCAATTTGGAAATTCACCTAAACATGGTGAGAGATGGTCATGCAGATATCTAGGGAAAAGCATTTGCACAACAGGAACAGTAAATGCAGATGCTGACTGGCATGTGGGAAAGAAAGATAGGAAGGAAGCCAGCGAAGCTGGAGGAGCAGGGAAGGGGAGGGGGTTAGGGGAGGGGAGTGTGCTGGGGGAAACAGGTGGAGTGGGAGTATGTTTGGCTACTGCATTTAGCAATCAATGGGAGTGGACAAGAAGGCACTGACTTTCTTGTGAAGATGGGTGATTGTTTTTAGATAAATATAATCTATGATAAAATTAAGTAGACCTTGAAAACTGGAAGATGATTTCTGGAAAATGTTTGTTTTTTTTAACTTACTAATGAAACAAACTGCATTTGGCAAAAACTCTAGGAATTATTTTACAAAACTTATATGCTGTTAATTCAATATTAATATAAATAACTTCCATAAGATGCTAAATATTTGACAGTATTAACCTATTTTATCTCTTTATGGGTCATTTTAAATAAAAACTATGGCAGGAATCTTCAGTAAAGCCTTAGAAAAAAATTCCACTACTTAAAGATTGAACTGTATTATTTCTTGCTGTTTTTTTTATATAGTATATCTTGATGATTCCCTTAGCTCCATCTTTAATAACCAGCAATGTAACTGACCAGGGTATCAAATGTTGAAGCTACATAATTTCCTGATGAAATCAAATCCATTCTGCTTCATGTTTAAATAGTAACATATTTCAGAGACGCTTGAGATTCTTTATAAACATTAATTCATTAATTCCACACAATTCCTGGGAGGTAAGCCACAAGAATTCTTTCTCTCATTTTTCCAGCTCTGTGGCTCAGAGATCTGACAAGCCTTGCTGACATATATTAAGCTCTTTGGTTGTGAGAGGCTAAAGACAGAATTTGGCATGGGTGGTGATGGATTGATACTCTCACCCTGATTCACTCACACGTCTCTGCCCTAGATTTCCTAACAGCTTGGGACATGTGACTTAATCTTTGTTATGTGAGTCGCTATGGTCACTAGGGGATGTAAGAGAGAATTAGTTTGCATGAGCAACAGGACACATTTGTATTTGACATGTTCTTTCCTTATTCCAAAGGCAATGCCTTCAAAACTTCTTATTGTGGCCATATAGTTTTAATGTTAACTGAGAAGATGATATGGTACAAGAGAATTATTTTCATGTAATATTTCATAAATAAGAGAGGAGCAAGTATCACTGTAAAGAATATTCTTCAAGCAATCCAACACTGGCTGTGTGCCTTTGAATAAATCACTTATCCTTCTTCCTGAATCTCAACTTAGTTGTTTCTAAAACAGAGGACTTGGGACTAGAAGAACTGCCACTATCTGTTCTAAAATTTCCATGTGTCTAAGTTTTTGATGAATCCTAATATATGCTTGGCTGTGAAGTAGGCATTGCAGAAAACACAAATGACTGCATGTATTTCAAACTCCTGCCTTCCCGGAACTTACCAGTACCTCCTAGACAATGACAGTTATAAACCTGGACTCAGTTTACTGCTATTAAGCACAAAAGATATAGCTTAGGTGATCACTAGGGGTTAGAGTCAACTCATAATCCCTTTCTTTCTGAATGTCACAGGACCACTGACATCTAATGCATACACAACTGAAAAGAAACTAACTAAAATGAATATTCTCGTTACTAAAATATATGGAACAATGACTTTGCTCATTCTCTCACTTTTCTGATGACAGGAACCTATGACTTCGCTTTCTCTTACAAAGTCTAATGTGCTAAATACACATTAAGAGCTCAGTAAGTTCTTCATGGTTTTCTGATGACAGGTATGGTTTGTCTGGAAAGCAAGAGATCTGGAGTCATTACTGATATTATATCTCACACCACTTTCAGACTCCAGTGGAAGGTGTCTTGACTGCAATGGGCTTTTCATCTCATCTGTGTCTTGAATGTTTAAGGTTATAAATAGCTATGGGTGAATGTAAGAAAAAAATTATGAAAATCGTTATGATTTTCAATTATATTTTAAAATAAGATAATGCCTGTTTTGTAGATTACTAGAATCTTATAAATATTTTTATCTATTAATTAGATATTAAATATCTATTAGGATTAAATATATCTATTACTAAGACACCTCCAGAGAATGAGAAACAATTTGAAGAGTGTTAAAGGACAAAGAATAGTATTTATTAAATGAATGGATAAATATTATAGCAAAGGGATTTTTTTTTAACCTAAATGACAGTTTGATAATAAAACTGATAATTTTCTTTTCTTTTCTCAATGTATACACAGGTTGAACCAGATAGTTTCTGTAACCTTATGTGGAGCTTACACATAAGAAAGTTAAAGAGAACTTATCTTTTTGGAATCCAAAAATCTATTTTCTACTTTTAAACTTATGAATTACCTGGTTGAATTCATTTTGGCTAAGAACCCCCACTAAACATGATCCAAAACTGGAAATAATATGGAAGGAGAGAGGATTTAAGGAGTGTTTCTCTGTTAACTCATTATCTTGTATTTTGACACAGCCAGAAAATGTTTCCCTAAAGAAATTCACAAACTCCATATCTTATTGCCTTTGTTGTGCCTTTTGCTCAGAGAGCTTAATGTTCTAATTAAAAGGTGTGTCCTTCTAAGCTATAAAGAACTCTGCAGTTTAATCCGTTTATTTTTACATTGTTCTTCATGTTAATGTGTTAATAATGAATATTTCAAAAAAATAGTAGAGTCACCACTTTCAGCTTTGCCTTGTTTTTGTTATAACTGAAAAGATCTCTATTTTGTTACCCCAGAGAATCTGCCAGTGTGAACTGGGAGATTGAAAATGTCACTTTGTCTGATGAAGGCGCCTACGAATGCATTGCTCTCAGCAGCACAGGGACCGGACGGGCGCAGACATTTTTTGATGTGTCAGGTAATTATCACTAATTGCTTTGCCGTTGCCTGCATATTAACGCATCTATGGAAATGGGATGTTTGCTAAGCCTGGTTTCACCACCTCTTAGCTGTGTGACCTTCTTGGGCCAATCACTGAAGGACTCAGGGCCTTGGGTTCCCAAACTGTTAAATGAGGATATCTGTAACAGTCTCTATCTCATGGAGAAACTACGAGGATAAACGAGAGAGTATATGTAAAGCACATAGAAGAGAGCCTGGCACATGGAAACACTTGATAGACCTTAGGTATTATTGTGGTGGTTGTTGTACTATTATCATTATTATTGTAGGGACCCAATAAATATTTTTGGAAATGACCATATAGCATTTTTATTAAAATTTAAAGAAATTTAGAGAAAGGAAGGGATAGAATTTAAGAAAAGGAAGAGTTATATTCTGAGAATAACAGGGTTAAAACTTTCCCTTTTCCTCCCCCATGTTAATAATAAGCAGAGTGCTTTTATGAGTGGATTCTGACATTAAATTGAAGACAATAATGAAAGTGATCATGTTCAAGAAACACAGGGCCTCAGTGGCTACAATATTGGTATTAAGAAGAGTGGAAGAAATGCTAATTATTTTGCTTTTAGACAGTATGTTTCCGATGAATAAATGAGAGGCAAAACTCACTGCTTTATAAGGCAGAATATATTTTAGTGAAAAAAATCACTTTTTCCTCTAATCTCGCAGAATTCTCAGGACACAAAAGGACTGTCATTTTAAACCAATGATCATGATTTAAGCCACTTACTCAGCATAAATCTAGAATTTATTGGAAAGTTTGTTTCAATTGATTTATTTTCTACCTGCCTTGTAGATCAGTGTTGCTGTGTGTTTAATAGTAACCCTATTCTGACGTAAATGTAGCTGCTGAGTTTTATAACAATGTCTGTATCTGCTTTTAGTAACAATGTGCATTTTCTTGAGACAAAGACAAAAGAAACTATAGAATTGTAGGACTGCTTAGAAGTCTAGGATTTATGTTTGTTATCAATAAGTCCAAGCTGAACTTTAAAACAGAGGCATGCAAGCATGTTCTTCTTGGAGTAAATTTATTTGTATTCTCTTATTCTTAGAAAAATAAAGTTTGTCTCCTGAAACAATTTTGTTGACATGCATCATAAACTATTCATTTTTTCATCTCCAGTAATTATGAAAGGCATTGGAATTGTGTCAACGTTCCTCAGCTTCTGGGAAAACAAACACTTGAGCACTTGAGATTTTCTGGGCTTTTTTTTTTTATCCCCCCCCCCGCCCCAGCAATATTAATTAAGGGAAAGACAACAGGGAAAGAAACTTGAGTGAGTGGATTTAAACATCTTGCATAAACAACTGGGAAGTGCCAGTACAAATTTGTGAACTGGTAAGAATTTGGCTCTGGGTGTCAGTAACTTCCATATGCGTGTTGTACACATGCCCCTCTACTTTAATTTGTACTAGCCAGGCAGTGGTATCAGGAAATTACACTGTACTCAAGCCAGATTTCAGGAATCGTGTCCCATTCGGTCAATTAGGAAAGAAGGAGCAGAAACACTGATGGTAATGGCAATGATTACAACCACAGAAGTAACAAGCAAGTGCCCCTTTGGACTTGGAAGAGTAGATAGTTCTTTCTGGGCTCACCATTGCCTGAAACCTCCACCCACTTCTGAATCTCTCTTAGCCTAGGCTGAGATCCCAGCAGTTACCTGACCAGCCCACTGGGATCAGGTGCAAATTCACAGGATAATTAGATCTTATATTTTGGAAAGGAGTGTTAATAATGAAGGCATTATGGGATAGTGATGTTCTTGTGTCACTATGGACACTAATTTATTTTGTAAAGTCAAAGGGCACCCAAGAGCAGTTTAAAGAAAAGCTAAAGTTCTACTAATAGGTTACCTCAATTTTTCCAGCATTTTCTTCTAGTTGACATGTTTAAGGATTTTTGGTTCATGTGAAATGTTGATTATTGAATGTCTTAAATGCAAAATGGGTGTAAAAAGCATCGTACTTTTATTGAATATAAACACATAGAAACAAATGAATAGGGTTGCAGAAGCATGAAAAACTCATTCTTTTCAAGTGACATTTAGTAATTTAGTTTAGTACTGTTACAAATTACATTAATTTACTGAATTTCTTTATTAACACAATGCCTCTCCCCCAATGCACACACATAGAGTACTATAATTTTGGGTTTAAGTAAAATACCAAGAATAAAGAAGTCTTGTCAGGGGCATGTCAGTGACAGGGAATCTTAAATTATAATTATAGGCTATTGTTTTAGAACGGGATAAGACTTGGAAATAATCTTGCACCACCTCATCATTTTGTAGGTAAAGAAACTGAAGCCCAGAGCAGGCAAGTGGCCCATTATGGTTACAAGGATAAGGAGTGAGACGATCCCTGTACTCTCTTCCAGCAGTCTTTTTTTTTTTTTTTTTTAAGATTTTATTTATTTATTCATGAGAGACAGAGAGAGAGAGGCAGAGGGAGAAGCAGGCTCCCAAGGAGCAGAGAG